AAAAGTTCAAGTAACGTATGACGAGATACGGAAAAGTTGAAGAGAGGGCTGTTGTAGATGTTAATTTTCACGTTTTTTTTTTTTTTTTTAAATTTAATTTTGCACACATCGCGCACACGTTTATCGACGAAAACTAATTTCGAGGAGGCGTAATCTGTTTCGTGGAACGATTACGTGAGCGCGCTCGCTAGGCGTGCAGCATAAGGGAGCGGGTGGAAGACGGACTGTAATTAGGTGCAATGCGATACCGTGGACAATGTCACGGTTAGCAGGGAGTGGCAATTATAATTGACTCTAATTTAGCACGGTGTGCATTTCAAACTCGACGAGAGAAGAAAAATATCACGGATGAAAACATGCGTAAACGAACAATCCGGATATTGTTCTAAAGTTAGAAAAAGAAAAATTAACTCCTCTAACGATCCAATGGAAAAATTGTTCGATCCCTCGAGGAAGATTTCTTTCGTAATCGTAGCTATTTAGTAAGTTTTTTAAAACGACCTCAAGACACGTGGCGCAAAATCATACTTTGAAAGTCCTATTATCGACGGATCGAGCGTCAAACCTTTGAACGCGATGTCCTCGCGTTGAAGTTTGCTTTACGTGTCCTCGAACTCCTAAACCGTGGCATTCACGGTCCCGCATGAATCACTCGGTATATAACGAACGAGGTACAAACAGCGATCGGCTTAGCGAGAAAAAACGAAATTACGGGTATAAAAGCGTCCGATGTTCTACGTGTTGTACACACGTAAAAATAGGGGCGAGCGCGCAACTGTAGCTCGAGTTGCACACCCGGTGCACACGAGCGACCCACGTCGCTTTGCTACGTCAGATTCGAATCGCGTTTGATTGATCTTGAAAGGCTCGATGGCCGTTTAGGCGTTTCCGTGAACAAGTAAATTTGCCAAAATACTTTCGTACTACGTATTTTTCAGAGTGTAAACTAGAAAATGTACGAAAGAAAGAAATACTTGTAGTTTTGGAGACACCGTATCATCTTAAACGAACGAATTAATTTGCAGCACGGACAGCGGCTGGGATAATCCGTTCAGACCGGACGGCGACCTTTCGAGGGAGGCCGACGAGATAGTGGAATTGATAAAAGGTGGAAAACCCATCACCCCGACCCCTGGCCAAACCGCTCCACCGTTGCCAGGATGCGAGACTGGCGGGAACGCGCAGACCGCGATCGACCACGATTCCAGTTCCAGCCCCTTGCTGAAGTCTTCGGCGAATTCGACCAACCGACACGCGAACACGTCGCCGAAGCCTGGTCAGGAGAATGGAAAGGCCCACAGCACTCCGATTAAATCTGGAACCGCCAACAGTCAACAGCCTGTGAACGATAAGGTACCGATCTTCCGTTTATTCTTTTCTCCCTGAAAAAGGAGAATGACCAACTATTCGTTCGCAGCGTAAACACGAGTGGTTTGTTTGCGTATGTACAGGTTGCCGCGGCATCGAGGGCAGCGACCGTGGAGGTGGCCAGAATGACGGCGCAGGGACCAGGCGACGCTTCGCAGGTCGAACACGTCACCTTGAAGAAGAAGCCTAAATGCAAATGTTGTGTTCTGCAGTAATGGACGCGAACCGAGCACGGATGTCTCAGCAACCGGACGACGATTATTCTCCGTCGTCGAGGACGCGTCGCGGCGATATCGTTGAACGACGCGTTCTCCGTTCGCGTTTCTCGAATGGGTCGTTAGGTCGCTACCAGCGCCGTGGAAAACGACGGAAATCCTCCCATCGCGCGTATCTCCTCCCAGGGACGAGTTTCCTGAAAAAACGAGGAAACGCGGCTACCAGATGAAAGCGTAGCGCGACAGGACAGAGTCGGTAATCGCGTGTCCCCTCTTCGAAAGACAAGTTTGATTTTTCGGCTCGAAAGATGAACGTTGATAGACCGAAAACTCGAATCATTTCACCGGGGAACGTTTACGAACGAATCGACGCCGACCGGGGGAAGCTACCTGACCGCGCGTAAACCACCGAGCCTCTTCGATAGCCTTTCAGAGACAGTGAAGTGTCCATAAAGTAAATAGACTATGAAAGAAGAGAATGGGTAAGAAAAAAAATTATATATATTATACATAAAACTATATTGTAGATACAGAAATGGTAGTTGTATAGCTTATATGCTTTTACTATTGTGGTTAATTACTGTCAAAAATCATCGTAATTTCAAGAACGTGTAAACGACGACGAACGCGAGCGTGAAAGGAAAAAAGAAATATATAGGTTCGCGATCGCACGGAATGATGTTTAAACTTTGATCGGGTTTACCGAGAAAGCTATTAATTATACTTCGTTGGACATCGATATACTACTATATATATATATATATATATATATATATATATAGATTCATAAATTCTCGTTTTTACTCAAAACTCCAAACCTCTTCTATATAGACGACTTTTACGGAAAATTTTTTAACATCGCGTAGAGACGTGCGCTAATCAAAAGGTACTACCGCGATCGTGAAGAGCGACTATAAATGTAAAAATGAGGGAGAAAAAGAGACGAGAAACCGCGGCGTATTTTTTTCTTTTCTTGCCGCGACACGAGCATCATCGGGAACGCATGTTTTTTCTCGATGACGATGTCTTTCCTCGTAATCGTTTCACTTCGACACGAATCCTTTACGTTGCCGTTATTTTGTACGCCTCGCATCAAACATGAAACGCAAACGTATCGAAGAAGAAAAGCTGTGCTACGATAGTTGCGCGCGAGTAACTATTCAGGATCGTCGTACGAAATGTGTAAATATCGCGATATTTTTTGAAATGTGTGCATGCGAGACTGTCGGCGATCCCTGAGGAGCACGAGAATTCGACGAGGAAAGCAGTTGCGAGCGAGATTGCTGTTAGAGCACAAAGTAAACGCGTCGAGTACGGAGAAAGAAAAATGTATACGTATCGCTTGTCGAGGAAAACGGAGCAATACGGGTAATTGCACCACGAGCGAGTATAGTTTGATCTTTAACGCGTTAACCCTTTGAGCATAAACGAAAAGTCTAACCGTTGATCCACAATTGAACTATGCTTATTCACGGTACGATTACTTCTGAAGATGAAGAATGCGCGAGATCGATCGTTCAGCGATTTCTTTTTGGTAGACGTTTTTATTTTCAGTGTCCGTAATCAATTATTTATTGTTTTTATCGAATATGTATTTCGTTTCCACGTGTCATTTCGCTGCTTTCAACCCGTTTTTATTGTATTTAACTGTATGCATGAACGTGTACGTACGCTTCGATGGATCTTGTCGAACTATGTTTGTATAGACGCGATCGAAGAATGCGAGTAAACGCGTTTACGACACGTCCAGCGCGGACGTTGATGTTCGTCGTTGGGGAAACCGTTGATCGGTTCCACGCGTAATTATTATATGTGTAAGAAAGTTGAACCGCGTGTTTCCGCTATGCGAAACGGAACTGCTTGTTGTATACGCGCTGAAAGAGGAACATCAAAGAATAAGCAGGAAATTGTCTTTCTTTCTTTTCCAGTATTTACCTATGATTGATTTTAATAGATTTCAATCCCAATAAAGAATAATCGTGTCTCGTGGAAGAAATTCTATCAGGTTACCGTATGAAATGATTTCTTTAATCAGACTTGTTTAATTCGAAGACATCAAATTTAACGTTATTCGTGCTAGTCGACGACTACGCGCGACGTGGAACAGAGGTATAACGCGTCGTCGCATCGAGCGGTGCTTGTTTCGCGTTTGGCTGTACCGTGTGATGTATGGTTGCGTATCTGGCTGAGCGAGTGCCTGCCTGTATTTTTTAATACACATATCCGCGTATTTTCCTAGATCGCCCGGGCCAAAAAATATTTATGAAACGCTGCGATACATTAGTGGTGACGGAACGAGTGTAGTAGGAGTGGAAGTTAATGCAAGAGCGACAGAAGATGAATATAAGAAGATTTCCTTTATTTTCAATTCATTGTACGCAGTTGCAATGTATGTACGGTACAGAGTGTAATATAAAATTGTAAGTAATAGGAGAGATCCTGAATAATTTACTCGCGTCCTCGCAAATTACAATCGCGAAGCGAACGTATACCACGAAGCAAACCCGGAAAAAGGAGAGTTCTGTTACAGTATGTACATGGTCACACAACATCCACGTAACCTCTCCTCCCCACCCACACACACACACACACATACAGACATGTGGAAAGAACACGAGCTATCCAACTCTTTCGCTTGGTATTTCTTAAGAAAGTGATAATAAAAAGACTTGTGGAAATCCCTGGATATTGACATTTGCGATATCAGAGTTTTATGTTATACGAAGGTTTTTTATGAACAACATTTTCAACTGGAAGGTATTGTGTTTACTCCTTACGGGAATCCACTAAACTCGAGCAACTATGTTTCTTGCAAACCATAGTAGTAAAGAAGGTCGAGAACATCCATGGAATAAGATACCGTTTCATTGGCTTATAGGTTAAAACTGGTTCATATATGAATCATAACTTTGAATTTCGTAACTCTTCACTAGCGCCACTACTAGCGGGAAAACGCCCAAGTTTGTTCTCGAATAGTTTCTCTTTTTATTGCTAGATGGCGCCATGTAGAATATCTTTTAACGGCATGATGGTAATGTACCGACCAGTGTCGGTAAATACTATGAAAATATCGCCACCTAGCGGTAAAAGTAGAATCTAGTTACGACAATGATATTTAGTGGCGCCATCGGTGAAAAAATGCCCAAGTTTTTAGCGAAGTTTTTAGCTCCAATGGCAATGTCGGTATCCAGAAATTAGTAGCGGCATCTATCTGCAAAAACTAAGAACTATTTCATTAGAAACTTGGGCGTTTTGGCACCGATGGCGCTGATAATAGGCTCATCGCGCGCGTAAATTTGAATGTGTACTTTTGTACTTTTTATAAACGATTTTCGAATTACATCACCCCGTAATGTAACATTCTGATAGTAAAAATACAATATCATGTGTAAAGTAAGTATACAGTAACACTATATATATATAAAACAATATATTTCATTAGTGCAAACAGCACTTAAACAATTGGTAAACATAGTAAAATTTGTTAAGAAATATGTACATCGTATTAACACGTTATCATATATATAAATATGAAAAGGAACAAACAGATTTTACACAATCTTATGTACTATACAGTGGGTCAAATTTGTTTTCAACAGAATTATGTTGCGAGCGTATTTATAAGATTTAATGAATCAACTTTACGGCGCGCAGTAACTTGTGTATGTGTCGATGAAATGCTTAAAATGGCCAACATTTACTGACAATTGAAAGATATTCGAAGCTCACGATATGTAAAATCATTCTACACCGTCAGAATGTTAGTGTTCCTTTTATTCGCGACGAGCTAACATAAATAATATATTAATCGTACTTGGACATCGTCCAATCCTTCGTGTCTTTTCGTTATACCTAGGATAATCTTGGAGGAGATTTTTATACATTAATACCAAATATCACATATCACAGCTTCGATATCAAAATTTGGTCACGATTCTAATTTGATCCGCATACTTTCTCTTTATCATTTCAGCTTCCACCTTATCCCTATGGCCTTGTTCGCTATGAGATATTCCATAGAGAAAATAAATGCCAAAACCTGGATGAAAGTGAGGTAATTAACAACGAAATATAATAACGCTTAGTTTGTTTTGTTTTACAGACGTACCGATAAGCATCCAAATGGAAAATCTGATCCATGTAAAAGCATCTAATTGCAACATCAAATATAGGTTTATGAAAATACTACAAGATGGGAGAAGTGGCACTAACGGTACCTGCAAATAACAACAAATTATTAACTGATACATTATCTCTAAGTTATATAAAAATTTGTACAATGTCTACCTTAAATGCTAGTTCAACCTCTTGAACAGGTTGCCTTGCAACAGCCGCTAAATTCAATAACAATATTATCACAAGTATGACTAGTACCGCAGTTTCTATTATATCGTTGCCAAAGGCATTTTCGCCTACATTATTAATGAACAGCGCAATAACAAATACAACGATACCTGCAATAGTAATAACATGGGTATAAAATTATTAACGAACCCTGGTGACGTCTCTAAGTAACGATTTCAGCGATATAACTTACACAACATCGCAATGCCATAATTTGCAACTTTGGTAGATATCTCGGTTATTTCTTTCTGATTGTGTAAATTGAACATTTGTTTCAAGATGTTGACTGGCGTAAAAGCATAACTATTCATTGTCGTCATTGAATGATTGTTAGAAACACAGTCTTTTCCTTGATATCTAAAACGAGCAAAGCAATAATCCGGAGCGTTCGTGTGGCTGGCTCTCGTGTGGTCTCTCGGTGACCAACATGCCAGCAAAAATCTGTTAAATGTTACGTTATCATCTTGAACAGCGATTACACTTGCCTTAGGATTAAAACGGATATTGCCACTATAGTATACGCTAACAACGTTCCGATAGACATCATATCTATCAGTTGTTGAAGATTAAATATAAGTGTCATGGCTCCTGTGAATAAACCTGAAATCACTGTCCCGAATACAGGTGTCATGGTTTTCGAGTTTACATTTGAAAGACTTTTAAAAATGATCCCATCGCTGCCCATGGCGTAAAGTATGCGTGGCAATGGGAACATCGCACCGAGTAAACTCGTGCACAATGCAAATGCCGCTCCGATGTTAACGATCCACTTGATCGTAGGCCATCCAATTTGATCGAATACGTACGGGAATGGTGCGTCGGGATCCTAAACAAAGTGCCTCTTACAAAATAACGAACCATTGTACATAGTTTGATCGTTTATGCTCGGTTAGTACCTGATCATAGTACGGCCACATCATAGTTAACACGGTGGAGATACTGAAATAAGCCATCAAGATTATAATTAAGGACACAACGATGGCTATTGGTATATTACGTTGAGGATTTTTAGCTTCTTCACCGGTAGTCGCCACGGCATCGAATCCTACGAAACCGTAGAAACATTTTGCCGCGCCGATCATTACGCCGCTTATGCCAAAAGGCATGAATCCACCGGATCCGGCATGTTCTACCGATACCGGTATACTCTCCACCGGTATTCTCCAATTCGCAGGATCAGCTATAAATTCAAGGAAAATAATAATCAAGGAGGATCCCTTGCATCTCCAAACCAAGTTCTCACCTTTAATGGATCCTGCGACTACGATGACGACGATGGTAATTAAATTGACAACGGTAAATATGTTGTTTAAAATGGAGGACTCTTTCACTCCGATGCTCAACAAGACTATTAGCAACATCACTACTCCGAACGCGAAGAAATCTGGATATTCCGACAGAAACGAAACGCGAATGGGCATGGCGGACTGAAGCGTCTTGCTTATCACGTTTCCTATTAACGCGTCCAAGTAATTGCTGAGTCCACGGGCAACACTCGCGGTACCTGGAGATCAGAAAAAGTGAAACGGAAAGAGTGAAACCGAGCGAAACAGTTCAGGGACATTGCGGTAGTTTACGTATTTCTTTAAGAATCACAATTACAAGCGAGGAAAGTAACGATTTACGCACCGATTACGTATTCCAAAATTAAGTTCCACCCTATGATAAAAGCAACAAATTCTCCCACCGTCACGTAACTGTAAACGTATGCCGATCCTGCTTTAGGGACTCTGGACGCAAATTCGGCATAACACATTCCTGAAATCCAAAGAAACATTTTCTTTAGTCATACGTAACATATTCGTGGTATAGATACATATTTTTACACGCACTACGTTCAGACATTCCACAAAAGATTGCCTTAATCTTTTAGTAATATCTGGGTTAAAGCTAGATTCTCGAATGTTCACTTCGAACAAACTTGTAATATCCGGTTGGCTGGAAATGATCGCGATAGTGTTTTACCGGCAAACGCGGAAGCGATGGCGGCAATCAGGAAGGAGATGCAAACAGCCGGACCAGCTGTCTCCCTGGCGATACTGCCTGCAAGGATGTAGACGCCGAGGCCGAGGGTTGAACCGACACCAAGAGCCGTGAGATCGAACAAGCCCAGGACACGGGCCAGTTCGCCTTTGGTCTCCTGATTTTCTTCGATGCGCCTCCTCGACAGCGCCTTCCATAGTCGAGTCGCCATCGCAACTTACCTTTATTTCGTTGTCCCTTGTCTGAAAGAGATTTGCATTTTAGCATCGTTTCAATTTTCCACGCTGCATAATCTTCGCGTAAAAAATGTCCTCCGTTGCTTTAGAAACTCGTCGCTATACCGTCTCACATAAATTTCATAAACGCAACCACTCAAGGACAGAGCGAATGAGATTTACCTGTAGATAACGACAATCTGTTGCGATATTGTCGTGCAAAGATGTACATAGTTGTGGAAGAAACGTGTACTTATTATATATATTGTACATTGTTATGTGCATATCGCTTTCATTTGTTTCACGTATTTCTCGATCGTCCTACATAATACGTTCAAAGCAACCAGATAATATAGAGTAAATATGTTTATGCATTATTCCCTGATACTCGCGTGCAAATATCGAACGCTTTCACGGTCTTTCAAGAGATATGTAGAAAGATCCGAGCGCCACTGAACTTTTGGAAGCCCCTCTTAGAAATCGTCCTATATATTATTCGAGAGGCTAATGTTATCTTATAGATAAAACATTACACAATAATTGCATTTTCGATGTTACCAAAGTCTGTAGAATTTCTCGCAATAGTTGCATACACAACCATCGCTTTCCACTAATCAATTCCTGTCAACGTGATGGAAATAAACGACGCGTTTAACATTCTCAAGAAGCTCGAAGCTGTTATCACAAGAAAGCATCGACGACACGAACCCGTGACAGAATCTCCTTATGATTGATTTATACCACGCCGACCAGTGGCCGTTGCATAAGCGTCTGCTAACCGGTAAGATCTTTCTTTTTCGTTTTGTGGTGTCATTAAGCATTTCGCTAAATCCTATCGAAGAACGTTTCTCCTCTTAACGCGCCGCGTCTATGCAAGCGTAGGAAACCCAGGACGATCAAGGCCAATCAAGGCTCGCGAGAAACGGGATATCAACCACTTTTGCTGCGGAAGGTATTAGAGTCTCGTGTGCGCACGTCGTAGTCGCTGGTCAGGTTCTTACAACTACTTGGAAAACGAGCAAATGTTAAGACACAAAGATTCGAACCCACGATCGTTGGATCTACGGTCGAACGGTTTTGCTGCGCGACCATTATCGCACCTTACGATTATTCGACTCTTCATTCTCTACTTTACATTACTTCCACTACGTGCATATCGTTAGTCTAATTCCGAACAGTCTCACGACTATGCTGCCTACGCACACGGCGTGCAATTCTAAGTTAAATTGCACCGTAATCGCGAGATTAGATGATACGAGCGGTTGTAACGAAAATGAGGCTATTAATATGATGGCAAGCGTATCGTCATCGCGGTTCTTCAATTTTGTTTTTGGGGAGCGAAGAGTTTCTTTTATGCGAGATAATTTGTTTAATCGAATTTCGTATCGTTTATCGGGAGATTAAGATGATAGCGAGGATACAGCTTAACTCGTTAAGCTAGTCTGGCTATAAAATATGTCGATAACCATGGGGACAATTATGCGACAGTTAAAGAGACACCACTGTAAAAGTATTAAAAAATGACGAAACCACACTTTTACTACATTCTTCGATCGTTCACGAATGCTATACAAATGTATATATAATACGTATATTTCTTAAGCTTATTTACACAAGAATTCTCCAAGGCTATTCGAACGTTTACGTCTTCGCAAATTACCTTGATCCCTTTAGGCAGAGATCGTGATCGGTAATTCAAGAGAAGAACGGCAACGGACTCATCGTTACGTATTCCCTATTTTACACGAAACGCATCCTAATAAAAAAAAAAAAAAAAAAAACGTGAATCAACCGCGATTAACGTTCCACGACAATTTGTTATAATTACTCGACGCTTGCGGTATCTATGACGCGTGCATTTTAATAAGTGGAAACATCGTACATTACGACGGAATTGTCGAAGAAATATGATTGTCATTAATGAGAGAATTGCATTGGATTTCTCTTTCTTCGTTGGTATTACGAGAAACAACTTTTTATCGTCTCTTTGAATAAAAATTATACTCATGTCTACCCTCTAGGAGTACCTAACGGATTAAGGAATCACGTACACAGATAACAAAATTATTACATTTAAAATCTTCGTGAAAGGACAATGTAATCGTCGATCAAAGAGAATGAACGTTGTAAATACTTGGATAAAAGAGAAATCATTCCTTCCTGTGCTTGTGGCCTCGAGCCTCGAACGTTTCATGTTTACGATATTCAACCTACCCCCCGTTTACACAATTTCACTTTCACATGGTTTTCAAAATAACGGACTTCTTCTAGTCTCCTTCGATAACGCTGACAATATAAAATTTTTATTATTTCGAGCGATACAAAAGATTCAAAGATTATTCGTGTATTAAAGGATTATGTACATATTATCAAAGTTCGATATTATGTTAAAAATATTACCCTGTGAGTCTTAATCAAAAGGCACTCGGGAGTTGTAAATCATCTGATATTCGATCACTCGAAGGCTTCGATGTTGTTCTACCTTTAAATCACTCACTGGCAGATGGATCACGTACGGTTTTCGATGTTTCACGCATTCGAATTCGATGGACACCGTCGACGCAAGCCTAATTATTCGGATAAACGATGCAATTTGGCTGGTCAAAAGAGCTTGACGCGCATGAAAGGATCAACCGAAATTTACCGATCTCGCGTGACATTGGCATAAAGGGGAGCCAAACAAAACGTGTACTGCCGGTGTCTGGTCAACGTGACAAGGTTACAGGCCAATTAAGGCAAGGCACCGGTGTCCCCATTGCACGATTCCCCTCGACCGATCCTCTCGGTCTAATCCCTTTATTTACAATATGTACGCGGACCAATTACCAATTTCACCGATCACAGAACACTGCGACACTCTCTCTTCTGAGGTCACTTCTGCTCGATGTCCTAGCGAATGTATACACATTATCCACGAGTGTCGAAGCCATAAGCCGCAAGCCAACAATCACGATTTCGTCGACGCACGATTTAACGATAATTAAGCGCGCCTCCTGCCGCGTGTGGGGTGCGAACGCCCCACGTTAAGCTTTCCTTTCACACTGTCTGAAATGTTCACCATTGAATTATAAATTACAATCAACGGTATTGCGAAACACGTGCGACGTACGTGCGGCCAACGGAAAGTTGCCGAAAATTGGCGTGGCAGAGATCGCGCTAATAGCGTTTCTGTTTACGATTTCACTGGTCCAGCGAGAGCTTCGCCGGAGGAGATACGGTAAAATGCGTCTCGATGTAAGAAAAAAGTGGCACGACTCGAACGAAAGTCTGGGCTAATGAGAATCAAAATTCACGAAATCACGTTGCGTCGCAAGAATTGAGTGAAAACGAGCGCGTAGCGAAATCTTGTTTATCTCGATTAACGCGAGAAATAGAGAGGGAAGCGTTAGAGACGCAATAATGCCAGGATTAACGGGATTGAACTTGAAACGTAATTTCCAGCCATTTCGCAAGAATAAGAATTATCGAGTTATTAAGCTGAATTCAGTGTGCACTGATTCTATTTCTGAAACGCTTCGACAATGTGTTTCGTATACAAACGTATCCGCGCCAGCCGTTGAGAGCTTTTGCTAAACAGCTGCACGATAAAAACATAATATTTAAACAACAAGCGGTGAGTGATTAACAAGCGCGCAATGATAGACTGCGCGGTACCGATCGAGCAACAATTTCATCGGTAATTTAACTCTTTTATTTACTTCTCGAGAGACATTTTCTATTCGTGTCGGTCATATTGCGTCACCGTTAATACCGCAAAATGATTATTTTCATTTCTGATAATCGTGAATGATGGTAATTTTGTAATCCCTAATCGCAAAGTAATTACCGTTCGACTCTGATGCACATCTCGTTGCGTGAGTACGCAAAGAACATTTAGCATTCATCGAGCTACACGTTTGCGTTAATCCTTGAAACCAACGAGTCTGGTGACGTTCTACGCTAAAAACAAGAACCGGGAATATTTTTACTTCCGTGACCGTTACGAATACGAGGTGGCAGACACGATACAATGAGCGTTAAACGATAACAGTGTAAGAAAATCAAACGTGAACCTGAAACGTCCAGACAAACCTGCTTCACTCGAGAGAATAGAAATAAAAAATTATCATTGGGGCAAAGAGAAGTTACCAAGTTACGATGTTACAGCTAGCGATTCGCAGGAAAATGTCGCAAGATTTCCTTTTTCAGATATTTCTCCTTGTCAGGATATCAAATGTTGCGTACGCAACCAGTATATCGCTAGGCGGCCTGAAAGCGACATTGAAAGAGAAAGGAATTCTTTCGTTGACCGTACAGCTGAATTGTAGTAAATTAATAGAGACGAGTAGGTCGCATTGTTTTACCACCGTTTTAACACAGGAAAATAATTATTTAAGTAAAAGAATATTTTCCTTTTGGCTTTTCAATTTCTGTGTCTATTTACCACGCAACCTATTATTAACCGTATTGTTTCTTATTATTACTTGGATTGTAAACCTTCTTTCTCAGTAGTGGACTAGTTAGAGTGATAACATGTACAAGCGTACATATTTGAATGTATGAAATAAGCCAAAGTAAGAACTATAAACGATACCAATTGAAACAGAAATGATTGATTATCATCTTATTATTCGATTACATAATTAGGGCAGTCGAACGTCGAAGGATAGACACTTCTATGATTCATACCGTCGTTCTTTATCGTATCACGCGCCTAAACCGAGTTGGATAAAGGATCATATTATCATAAAAGGCAAATTAGCAGCAATTTGTAGGAAACGATTAGTCGAGTTGAAAGAAAAGTTACGATTGCAACGATCTGTATATTGATTATAGATGCATTCCTTTCGTATGAAACAGATGTCGATACGTATCAGTTAAGTAACCTACTCGAAAACGTTCAATCTCGATGGTATGTAATTCGTTTATTTTGTTTATATGATGTAGCATTTTACCGAGAAATCGTAAACATATTAATACAAAAAGATCGATATAAATCGCAGAGTTTTCAGTAACACAGATATGATAAGAATTGGCATTAATCACTATCGCTTCTTCATGTCACAGCATATAATTTTATGTTGTACGTTATCAAAATGATTTTACTGGATCGATGATACACAAAATTAAAAATAAATTTCATCGAAACAAGAATCACAAATAATAGATTTTATTAATGATAACGATCATTTTCTATTATCTCGAATTTTTATTATTTGCTAATCTGCGATTAATACATTTGGAATTTACATATTTGACGAATACATTTACAAATAATCATAAAACAACTTCTTAAAATATAGTAACAAAATTTGTCAAATTATTTAAGTTTCTATTGAATTCATTTACGTTGAAACAAAAAGAAGAAAAAAACATGCATGAGCAACCTTCTACTTCTACCTTCGCTGATGGTCTACTGAATATCTAGTTGAGGTAGATGCGAAACGCGCAGACACATACATATGTATACGCACATACAACGTGTAACATATGCACGCACGTGTATTTGGGTACATTTGTCGCGAAACATTACTGACACTTTACGTTATATATATACATAAAAAAAAAAGTACAAACAGATGTAGAGGTAACGACCAAGTAGCTCGACGTTTCGGTAAACATCTACATAAGGTACACTGAAAACAAGGTATCGGTGAAAAACCTGTACGATACTTGTAGAACACGTTAAAAAGTTACGCGATTACACAATCCGCGGGACAACTTTTCTAGAACATACGGTTAATTATTTAATATCGGTTGACCAGACGCGCAAACGGGGCGAGATTCGAAAAGAATTGTGTCTATCGAATACTTGTTATTCGATTTTACACAAATTTTATATGTAACGACTACGAGGTAGTCTTACCTGATTTCGCAGAGCCGTGTTGCAAGGGAAACCCAGCCGCGTGGAAAACGTCTCATGCACAAAGATACTTTATCCAGGCAGGATGGACACACGTAACTGAATCGGAAGTAGGTCGGCACCGTGGAACCGGTCGCACCGGAGTACGATCGCAAACTAATAATGTGCTCTAATATAACGATGTTCGCTTCCACCTGTCTGCTAGCTAATAAACTTCAATCACCTCCCACCATGATTTTAAAGCGGCCGCGTTAACGCTCGAAAAACTTCGGGTCCCCCAGCTTGGAGGAAAGAAGTCTCTATATCACTTAGATCCACACAAACGACTCTCCTACTCTTTTACTTTTTTTATACTTAGGCAAACTTCGCATCGCGATTACCCCAAACCATAGATGGGTGAAATTTTTATCTAGATAGAAAATGCAGATTAACGAATCGAAGATAAACAATTATAAATACAACATAACTGAAAAAAATCTGTTTTAATAAAAACTACAATCCGAATTATACAATCAGCTTCCGTCTTACCGTTGAACTACTAACTAAATTAAATTTTGCCCATTTCTACCGTCGATCACGTAATTTATTCGGAAAGGAATCGTTTCGATAATTCGCTAATAAAGAAAATAAGTTATACGTCATTATTATTATTATTATTGTCATTTCATTTATTCCCCTTTAATCAGAGGAGATTGTTCGTATAAACGTATCACAGGCCAGTTCTACAGTATAAGAATTCGTTATACATAGAACTGATCGTAAATGACCATATTTACTATTAAAGTATTTGGTATAAAATAACTAAAATTATTAATGTTATTCTACATACATCGAGTAAATTAAGTTCTGTTCATGGATCTTTGATATGTATCTGGATTTGTAGCACAGCCTGGGCACGTATGTAAAGATTCGTTAATAAATATTTCGCAGTCCAAACAAAATGTTTGATTACATTTGTTGCAAAAGTATATCTGGAAATAAATATAATTTTTAATTACGTTATAGTCGAGTAGATAAATTTCATTGGCGCTAAATTATATTTAGCGTACCTTCTTGTCCTTTTGCGTAATAAGTTTTTGACAACCGTAACAAGTAGAGGAGGTCCCGCTAAATGGTAATTCTTTAAATGGCTCGACGGGGAATAAGTAATGATACGATCGAGCCAAGTGAGGAGCAGACACTAAAGTAAGCCCGCATGCTCTGCATTCTACGGGAAGTTCGCAATGTTTGCTTAGACATTGAGGACAAAGGTATCCTGTACTGGTAAGCTTAACAGATTCATCTGCGCTTTCCGCATGACTGCAAAAAAGATTTCTTAACAAAAAATCTCCACGATCGGACCTTCTTTCACGATATAATAATCTAAAAATTAAATACCACATGCAGACCGCCATACACGTGTCAGTCGTAGAGGAATGCAAAGCATGATGAGGAAAACCCATTTTTACAAGAGCGGCATCCAATCTCGTTGCGGCTGGTGGTGGATCTATATGCATGTTCAACTGTTCTTTGTAATGTTTGTCGTCTAGCGCTACACCATGTTCTCCGCCGGTTGCTGTTGCCATTCTTTTGCAAATGAATAACTCAGCAGCCAATCCTATCACGCTACATCTTACACAGTCTGATTTCATACTCTAAAACCATTGCCAGTTGTTAAATTATTACGATACAATTATCACAGTGTACACGATAGCGCATACTTGTATAGTTTCATTGATATCTCTTGGATCGCATGTTGTAAGTGCTCCTATAATAACAAGTATTTCTTTACTGGCGTGCGACGGTAAAATACGTAAAGACTTTAAAGCCAGCTCTAGAGAATTTTGTAACGATGGCTCGCCTGCTGGCTGAATCGCGTGTTGCATGGCTCGTATTTCCTGAAAAAAAAAGGGGGAAAAGTTAGCATCGTGGAAAAAGGAAAAGAACGGTAACAAATTATTAAAAATTACCTTCACGTGTTTCTTCGAATTTCCAGCTAACTCGCTTACTTTTTCTGCTCTTTTATTTCTTGTAACAATTACTCCTAACTGGCTTATGGGATTTTGATAAAAAAATTCTTCGATAAAATCTTCTAAAAGCTGAAAATTGATAACATACATGAATAATATATGAAAACTATCTAAAATATAACATTAGCTGGAAACTGAAGTATTATTATTAAATATGTACCTTCAATGAACATAAGAAACGAGTTGGTTTTAAATCTTGATTAGACATTGATTCAGAAGCATCAAGAATTATGTAAAGGTGTCTCATCATTCCTAATCTGGCTCCAACCTTCTTATCCATCTGACGTTTTCTCTTAGCATTGTGAATAATATCTGCGATGGATGCGTCCAATAGTCCATGGTCATCTTCCTTAAGTGCTTCCCTTTACGAGAAATTAGATACATAAATTTCAGATTTATAATAAAGAACAGTGGAAAATGAATTTACAATTGATTAAGATCAGTAAAAGTTTTTCTTATGTTATACATAATAAATAAAAACAGTACATTGTAATTTATTCATGAAACATTTTTATAAAGTTACAGGTAAGTTTTTCATTGTAATTTAAATTATAATTTTTCTACAAAGTAAAATAATTGTAATTATACTAGACGAACGATTAATTACCATGTCTTTTCGTAACCAGTCTCCCATCGATATTCCTTCTCTTCTTCTTCATCAGCCATTTTTTAACTTTCACGATGTATCTAGAATAAAAAATGCAAACTGCTTAGTCCAAAGACTATATCTCAAATATTTGAACGAATTTATTCGGAAGCATTGTCGTTCCATGTAACTGTTTGTAAATAACATCGTAAGAAATTAGGTTAACGTTGTTTATATTATCGTTAACAGCGAAAACGACGTACCGATATCACAATTGAAAGAAACAACGTCAAAGTTTTTGAATATAATTAATATAATCCCGTATAGTCGTAATTAAAGTAGAAACGATCGAATAACTACCATTAATTCGCATTAAAATATGCATTCACCTAGATTAAACTGTCACGCGTGTCCGGTCGATATAAGAATTTATTATTCAAAATTTCCCCTTGCAAGTTAGAGGAAACGTGTATCGTAAATAAAAACAAGGTTTCGGCGTGTAAAATAAGTATAAAAGCTAAAAGAAAAAGAACAATAAATCATATACCGTTCATAAATTTGCGCGCAATAACCAATGACTATTTGCGAAATTGTCTTGACATTAATTAACATAAACTTGCCTTTTCTATACTCGATCCGATGCCGGAACATAGGTGAACCCAAAGAATAAAGCGGCAGATTTGAAATGGTTAGCGTACCATTCGTAATTATACATTCTTTTCGGATGGAATTTCTGATCTATTCGTTAATATAGTATCTCGTATACGATACTCGAAACCTGGGATACGATTCTATAGAAAAAGAATCATCGATAAGGAAATGTATGGTACAATTGACGAGTAAGATTTTCCCGCCAAAAGGTAGGTTGTGCCGTGGCGGGCAGGCGCTATGGCGCCACCATCGTCAGACGCGATCACTGTTTTCATCCCATCTCGTGCGGCGACGGCAATTTTCCAGAACAAGAAAGTCTGATTTTTCCACGGTATATCGGGCGTAAGTCAATATCATTGGTTTGAGTGTCGGTCCTGTTGAAATCCGTTATCGGGCAAGTGTGTTCGAAAAATATTCATGGGGTAGACAGGAAGTGAATAGTCGAAGAGAGTTTTTAGCAACGAGAGCCATCTTGACGAGCATCGGCTTGCTCGTGATAGACAGAGGACGAGTCTGCGGTGGCGACCACGGTGGCGGCAGCGATGGCATCGTTTCTAAATATTTCTGTAATTTCCGAACGGTCGTGTGATCTGCAGTTAGAATAGTCACTTTTATCGTTAACGATCTCTCACGGGGCGAACCGGCTACAATTTCAAGATCGAATTATCCGTGAGTTTTATTCGTTGGTAACTTACGCCACTGGCCGCGTTTACAATGACTCCATGCTGTGTGCCCCCGACGTCTACACCATTTATGCGGGAATTCGTTTGGTTTAAATAAAAAGTTTCGCCGGATACGGTTCGCAAAAGCTCGCGGAATTGCAGGCGGTTTACGAAATTAACGATAGTTTAGATGTGCGTGCTTGGAGTGAACCTCCGAAACACCGTAACAACGGCAGTGGTGTCTTATTAAAAAATGTTCGCAGTTCGATTTCCACCGGCATGTTGCCTGAAATTTTTCCAAGACCCGCGAAACTTTGAAATCCGAATATTGAATTTTTTTTTCATCCGTGTTATAACGTGAAAACGATACGCTGCTTTATCGTAGATTACATTTTCAAAATCATATGATCTTGTAATTGTTGATTTGAATATTTTAATCTCTTTGTTAGTCTTCGCAAACAACGACATACACCCGTTTTCGACCCCAGGGTTTGGGTCCCTATCTCAGGAAAATATTATTTATATAAAAACTGTTTCACTTGTGGTCGTTTATAAAGAGTAATTAACAGATTAACATTTCTTTATTAGGGTAGTCCATAAATTGTCTTTCCTTATTCGATATTCAAATACAAATCTGATAAAAACAAATAAAGATTGTTGCTTGATGCAAAGACAATTGTAAACAAAAATATTTATATTATGTATAAATGTTGAATAATTTAATTGTATCATTTGTTTTTATATGTTCCATTAGGTAATGTATGCAAAGTTCCTTAAGCTAAACAATAAAAGTTAATTTCGCTTCTTAGAAAGAAACATTGCGGATAGAGACCCGATTACTGTATTGAACAAAATGGAGGGAGGCGATGGCCCTTCAGCCATCAGTAGCAATCCTACTGCTATTAAAGGTAACAATTATAATTTACCTATGTTATAAGGTTGCTATATCAATTGCTGGCTTACATTTACATAACTCATTTACATTTACATGCATGTTAGGACTATGTAAACAAAGGAATACAATTTTCAAGCTATTAAAAATGAATTATGAACGTTTAAAATAAAAAATAAATTGTATATGGGACAGGAACCGTTATTAAAATTTGAAACATGTATAAATATGTTCTTTTGAACAGTTTCATAGTTAATAATTGGTAGATATATATATATATAATAAACAAGTTGGTAGTTTATCAAGCACTGTGATATTACAAGTATTTATAATTTCTTAACTTTATTAGCTGCGCAAGAAGAAATGGGAAGATTAGATGTTCTTGTGTGTGGACAGTGCCATTCAGTCTTTCATTTTATCGAGGAATTTCAAGAGCATCGTACAAAGGAAGGAGCTTGTTCTCAAGTATCACATTTTCGTGAAAATAGTAATGTTAGTATTATTTTGAAAATTTTTTAAATGTTAACATTATTAAAAAAATAATAGAGGTGGAAAAAAAATGTCACATTATTAATTTTGCATAGAATGAACAAAAAGCACAAGTATGGGCATTTCTTTTGTGGAAAGATTCTCAAATTCAGCAAGATGGTGCCGATAAAGATTCCACGAACTCGTGGAAGCTCTATCAAAAATGGTGCAAAATGGATACGCACATAAGAGATTCTTGGATCGCGGCAGGAAAAACGATTCAAACGTTTACAAAAATCAGTAATGCAAAAATGCAGGATGTACCGAGACAAAATCAAATGAGTTCCAATGCCGAAGGTAAATTTTATGCAAAAAATTATTTATTGCGATTTAAGTATAAAACATCGAATTTCATTGTTCCATGATTTCGTAGGAAGACCGATAGTTGTTCGTAAAGTTATTAGAAATGGACAACCGGAAGAAGCCGATAGTAAAAGAGATGCTAAAGGTCTGGAAACAAAGAATCAAAAGAGCAACGAATCATTCGACACAGAAGCGGAAAAGAAAGTAAAGCCAAAGTTGAAACCCTCTATAAAACCCAAGGTTAGTATAATTACGATTCTCATTTTCTGTTTTATTTATTTAAACTAACAACTCATCCGTCGTTATAGGGTAAATCTAGCAAAGCTGGCGATGAAAATAGGGATTCAAGTGACGAGGAGTATACGGTAGAAAAGATCCTTGCAAAACGTTTTAATCCAAAAAAGAGGTGTTCGGAATATCTATTAAAATGGGAAGGATACGGACAGTAAGCTCAATTTATACAAAGTTGCATATTCGTAGATACAAATAAAAACTTGTTATTTTTATTAATCGCATATAAACAATTACAGCGAACATAATACGTGGGAGCCAGCTGAACACGTTGCTACGTGTAAACATTTATTGGAAGAATTCGAAAGAAATCTTGCTAAGCAAAAGGAACTAAAAGCGGCCCAACAGCAGGCTAACGCAAAAGTAGCAGGGCGGGGCAGTCATCTCGCACAAAAGACTGTTATAAAAGCAGAAGCAAAACCTGGACCAAGTACTGCGGCTCAAGTAGGGTAAGGCAACTAGACTTTGCCTATTACTCGATGAACATGAACACGTTTCATTTTTACTTCTAACAAATATACTTTGAGTAATAAACTTCGTATATAGGCGACCGATGCGCTCAAGTAAATCAAAAGCTATGGACCAAGTGAAGCAGTGGTGCGGTTCAATGAAAGACGAAGACAATGACTGTACGGGTATACTATTAAAACTATTAGTAGCGATTAACTGTAAATAATTAAGCTTTATGTATCTTTCGTAGTATTAGGGAAGAGGAGAATGGACTATTCCGAGAGCGATTCCGAGGACGGTGGCAGCAGTGCTGCGAAACGAGTAAAAGGTGACACGGGTAGCGATGAAGATTGGACTGGAGAATCTGAGGAGGAGCGACTATTGGGTCGAAGCGATGTGATTCAGCGAGCATTTAATCGTGCAAATGCGCAATCGAACGGTTCCAACAGAGCGAGTGGTTCATCTTCGGATCTCGCTACTTCCTTGGGACTTCAATCTCCCGAAGGAGCAAAATCCAACCAACCACCAGTTTTGGTAGCAAATGCCAAAGGGGTTGTTAAAGTCGATCCGAAGCAAATGCCAAACCTAACGTCTGGCGTATACGTGATGTCACGTAAAGATGGCATCATCAAGTTGGACTCTTCTCCTAGCGGAAAATTATCCGTCAAGAGTTCCCCGACCGCTCAAGGTGTCCTAATGGTTCAAAATCGGGACAACGCCAACGTGGTGAGAAAGCAAGTAATATCAGCGACACAGTCGAATTCCGTTACGCCCTTAAAAGTGGTCTCCAAAATGGATGGAAGTCAAGTGGTGACCCAGATGAAAGTGGTCACCAAACCTGTGGCGGGTAAACCGGGAGGTACGCAGAAAACAGAGCCTATAAAAATCCAGCCAAAACCAGATCCGAATCAGTTACCTCAGATACACGTCGTGACTGCGGTGCCGACACCCATCGCTCTACAACCAAGAATAAGTACAGGAATACGTCCTGGACCTGTTACAGGCCAACGTACTCCAGATAGTCGTCCACTGTTACCCAGACCTCCTCTGCGCGCGACGACACCAACCAGCGTGCTGGGTATGGGGTCCACGATTCGCACACCAGTCAGAGCGCCAACCCCTCGACAAATGCAGTCCCAGCAAGCCCGTCAGGTGTTGCAAAAACGCACGACAGCTGTCACAACGCAAAGTAACTCGGTGAGTCCTGGAAACGTCACTCAGATCAGACCAAAATTCACGGTTCTCAGTTCACAGCCAAAGCAAGTGGTAAAAACTGGAACTAGTCCAGTACAGCAGGCGAAACAGTCGCCGAAAGCACAAATTGGTAAACCACAGTCGTTGTTGTCTCCGCAGCAAAAGCTCTTGATGGCGAAACGGAAAACTCAGGAAGGAGTGGGTATCGTCAAACCTGGTGGCCGTGGGCTCTTGGCAGGTGCTCGAACTACTGTTGCCCGTGGTAGGGGGAAACTGGTCGAGACACCTGCGGCATCTACAGGAAACAAGCCTAAGGAGAGTAAACTGGCGGAGGGTGACGGACTACACATGGAATTCCACGAGGTGGGCTCCGAGGAGAGTAGCAGCGATGGTGAGCCTGAACTCCCGCCTCCAGAAACAGATACCATAGCCACAGCGGAACCGGACAGTCCACCACGGCCATTCACGTTGTGTCCACTGACGGGACGCATCATTGGCCCGGATGGCGAGCCTGTCGAACAGCCAGCGGAGCCTGAACCGGAACCCGAACCCACGACACCATTGTCCACTGTGAAGACATCCACAACCACGTCCGAGAGCATAGATGTAGCTGCTACAACTACCGCTACGGAATTGGTTCTACCTTCTCTGGATTCCCTCACGGAGGCTGGGGGAATCATGAGAGTCGAGATGAGTCCTGGTGGAACGACGGGCACAATCGTCCAGACCACTGAGCCAGCGCAAATGAATTTGTCGAACGTCAACGTTCCTGCTCCAGATCTACCATGTTTGGATGATACTGCTCCAACCGTAGCTGCGCCAGTTACAACTGCGACGACACCCTTAACAGAACCGACGACATCGAGTGAAGTTTCTATCGCGGCGGGATTGTCTACAGCCACTGTTACTTCTACCAATACGATAGCGATCGCATCGTCAGACGTGACCAAGAGTGATGAAAAGGTGGTGGTACCCGAGGAAAGGAAGGTATCCGAGGATGCATCAAACTTGGTGACGATAACAGGCGAGGACGGTGTCGTTTACCAAGTGGCTGGGCAAGCAGAAGGTGGTCAAACTTTACTAGTGACGCAAGACGCAGATGGCGAGCAACAATGCGTGTACGTTACCACAGAACAGCAGGGTGACGAAGGGTCCGTGTTGACATTGGACCATGCCGTGGCGGAAGCTGTAGCGCAGCTAATACCCGATCAAGTGAACCTGGCCTCGCAGTTTTACGTTAAGGAGAGTGGAACGGAACCAGCCGAGAACCCGATGGTGATGTCCATCATGGATAACACAAGCACGACCGACGTATCTGAAGGACAGGAAGATGGAGACGGTCACGGACAAGTTGTTGCTCAGGTTGTGCAAGCAGAAGAACCTACTCCAGGTAATGTAATTTTAAATCTTAATTCTCTGTCTACGCATTATTACAATTTTCATATAATTACTCATATTATACTTTTATTCTGTTTTCTCGTTAGGTGGTACTAGAAGAGTAGTGTTACTCTTACCCGATGGAAATCTGATGATGACGGAAGTAACGGAGGAACAGTATGCCGCGCTAGGACTCGGCAAGTGAAGAAACACTTAAAATAACTACACACACGGAAAAAATAAAAACGATGATGCATCGAACTATACACTTTACATGGAAGTTGTACGCTTAAGGGTGACCGTGGGTTGTATATATGTAAGAACGTTCACTTCGTACAATTGCAATGGAAAAACAAAAATACCGACATTTTCTAGCTAAGAGAAAACGGTCGCAAAACGTGAAAAGTAAAGCATAGCTGGTGTATTATAAACAAACAAAAAAAAGTAACACAAAAGCAAACATATGAAGAGGAAGAACCACAAATACAGAAATCTAGAGTTTAGATTACAATAAATGACTATGTTTTAAAAATTCATGTCTCAGTGTAAAACAATCCGATGGAATTTTGAATTTTGATTTTTAATTTATGATACGAGAGAAAGAGGAAGGCAGATTGCATAGGGTTAAAGAAAAAAAAAATTGAAGGAAATATCACATCTTCGATAACAACAAACACCATTATACAACGTTTGAAGTAAGCATTGTATTTGTAGGATAGTGAAGTATAATCTGGGGTTTTATATTTTCCAAACGATAATAGGCTTTTAACGAAGACCTTTATTCCCTGCATACAAAGTCCAAGCTTTCGGCATGATTGGCAGAAGATATTGCACCATAGATGAGTCGCCAGACAAGCTAGATAATTATCTGAACGAATTAACGCTACAAAATGATGTAAATACCAAATTAAATACTTCCATCGGGAGACAAATTTTTACTCCTGATGCTTAAACCTAGTTTGACTCTGTACTGAACATTCTCACTGTATGATCGATACGAGACAATTACGTTTTTTCTTCACTTAGCTTAAATTAACTTCTTTTATTCGGATATACCTTTTCTAAACAAAAAGGCAAGAACATGCTTTGCGTTTCGATGGACTGTGTATGCTTATCTATAGATTAAATAAGTGCACTGATATTGAAGAACACATAATTTTCAATCTATAAGGCTTTAAGCAAGAAAAGAACAAATACAGTGTTGTTTAATGGAACATCACGCGCGTCTCATTATTAAGCCCATTCCTTTTCAGCTAACTCGTTACACGAAGGACTATTTCCGATTTTATTATGCTATTCAGACAATTAAAATCATGGAAACAAGTAAAAATAAAAGAACGCTTTTGCGCTGTATGCTTCTATCAAACAATGTGTATTTTTTTTTTGTATACGTTAAGTAAACTTGTAAACAATGGAATATCGTTATACACCGTGTAGTAAAAGACGAAGAATATTCATGCTCCGGTTAGGTATACATTCTGAACGATTTTTCTCGCTTGTTTGTATCGTTAGATTACATAAAGCGTAATCTGTAATGTCGTATACGTGAAGCCATACGATGTTAATGCGTGTTAAAAGGTATGTAGATTCGATAGCGAAAAATGATAAAACGGAAAAATTGTTTATATTTACGAAACACGAATCATGATAAATAATGTTAATAAGTGTACCTTATGCGATTGTATCGTAATGTCGTGCAAAGGTGGTTTTGTTCGACATTCATAGGGTTAAACTAGATGCAAGCGATAATTATAGGCAGTCTGGACTCGCAATAAAAAGAAGATGAGAAGAACTGCACGAAACGGAAACAATTATACATATGTCTCAGTGTAAGAGGAAACTATTTTGCACCGATGTACGGCCAGGAATATAAAATCCTAGTATTTTACTAACGTAACCCTTTTGTACATAGAACTTCATTCTCTAAACCTTTATATAAAAATTGTTTCCAAATAAATCATAATCTTAAAATTAACATGTGTACCCTTCTACCCGTCGTTAATCTCCCTCTTATTCTCCGACATGAAGTATCAATCGATTAAGCATTCTTTTGTCAACTGTAACGAACGCTCGTCAAAAATTAATTAATTATGGTACATTTTACAAATAAAACGACTTCTGTACAATTGAGCTGAATTTCACTAGAAACGATAAGAAGGACTCAGGACACTTCAGAAAACTTCCACAGACGTTACAACCAGAGAAATATAATTGGAAAATGTCGTACAATGTAACCGGTACTGAGCAACAAAATATAATTTTTCAAAAGAAATCTACCATCGCGTATCGCGTTAGTATCTTCATTTTCCTTCTCGAACAGAAAAATGGTACATGGTTAAAATAATAACGATAGCAATGTTCATAGACCTACAGGGACAAGTTACAAAATGCATGCCCGGCTGATGTAAAGATATTAAAATATTATATACACAACGTTAAAGAAGATGGCAATCTGAAACTTACAAACGGAGAAGTAAGAATCGATGACATTGACAACGAAGAACAGGAATACTTGATAGGTGTAAAAACAAGAAGAAATGTATCTTCTTTTCCACGACAATATAAAAACATTTATAATTAAAACCAAGGTTTATCGTTTAGATGCATGTCGCAGAGATTCAGCGATAGAAACGCCAAAACTAAAAACTTGGGACGAGTACAGAAAATTGGTACAACTAGCGCGATCATGTCCAAGAACGATAACAGATCGGACACCGGAATTAACGCACATAACCTCTCTCCAAAAAATTCGTATCGATAGGTACTCACTGGAAACCCATATACATTATTTCAATTTAGTACACGCAATGAATAAATTAAACAAACATTCGAAACGATGTAAATTTATTAGTTACATAATGTTTGCTTTAAGTCATGACAAATGACAACAACGAGAGAGAGCATCGTGGGGCTAACTTTGTCGACCTTGAACAGACGGTTGATTTGGATTTGACTTATTATCGCACTAACCAAACATTATTTCTTCTTTTCTGTACGAATAAATCAGGGGAGGATACAGATCGAAACCGCGTTTAAGCGCCCAGGCGAAAAGAAGTATAATAAAGGTGGAGGTACAAAAAACAATACTGATCGCGGACTCTAACTGCGTACAATTTCGTAACTTTAAATTGAATAAGTTGTACAAGGTACTCCGCAAATCGGAAATGAGACAAATTCAAGGTGATACATTTTTCACGATCGATGTTATTTTTCTGACAGAAAACGGTCACGTTGCAAAACATCACCACGTCACCGGCGAGATTTCAAATGGAAGCTAGACCGTATCGCTCCAAGTTCCAAGTTCTAATAAAGCCCGTGAAGGAAAATAGGAATATCGTTCCCCCTGGTATGCAGCTACAATTAATCGTTCTATTCCGTTGTGACGTCATAGACGAACCAGAGGAAATGCTGGTACTGAATGTGCAACATGGCAAATCGCTGATCATCAGATTGCACGGATACAAGGACCCCCCTATCCTGTTGGGTATAAGAATACGAGCAATAATGTTGGTTGATGCTTATACTGAAACTGATTAAACGTTTTGTAATTGTCTCAAGCATTACATTTAGTTGTTACGATATATAAAATATATCCGAACGATGGCATCTACGAACTTATAAAGAAATGTAATTTAATGTTTACAAGATTAAACTGGCTAATTTATCTAACAGGAATCGATGATGTACAAGAAGCATATCAGAGTTCTTCGGAAGACGTGAAAAAGTCTTTGAGTTACGTATCTCGGCCAGAGTCGTTATTGTTGGCGTCGCACGACACCACGAATGTACATACTTCCAACTAAACTGTACTTTTTTTAATGAAAAGAAAAATCCTTTTCTTTTAAATATCATCGTTTTATAGAACACAACGGAAAGTATTTCCGAAGACGACGACGATTGGGACGATAGCAGTCGCACGATATTTAGGAACATGATTCTAGACTGTAAGAAAGCCTTCGTTGGAGAAGAAACTCATGTACCCATGAAATTCAAGAACGTTGGCGGAGAGGGAAGGTTTTTCATAATGAGTGAAGTCGACTGGGCTTCGATGCACATCGATGTAAATCCATTAACAACGCTTCTTCTGACTTTCTCTTCTTTTTTATTTACAAAAATTGATATAATTCGGGCTATAGAGAGTGAATTGTTTGTTATCAGGATATCACAGATAAGAATATGCTGACGCTACCTACCTTCGCCTTGTGGCCAGCTTACTTTAGAATGAAGTCGCAGGAAGTAATAACCTTCCACGTGTACTTCTTGCCTCGTTGTTACGGAATCCATGTAAATGAAACAGTGTTTCGTACCTCTCGCACAAGACGTTTACGACTTCTTTTATTATCGTATCTGTTCTTATCAGGTTGACAAACTGTATATACTCAGCGACAACTGTGCCATGCTGGCGACAGAAATAATCGGCGATGGGATAGTGTATAAAACAGACTTTATCCAGCTTAGTAAAGTATCTACGTCACCCTTTAATAATAGTAATATTAATATATTGTTCGTGTATGACTTTGATAGAAAAGGTTGTCGATCTGAAAATCAAAAACATTTTAAGAGTATGAATGTATCCCTTGAAACAATTTGTTTACCACTATTTGTTACCAGATTGCCCGCAGTTGGAAAAAGTTTGGCATTCCTCGGTGGATAAGGATATCGATAAACGGGAACGTTATTACGTAACCTTGAACGCAAACGTTTTGGACGGAATTGGCCAATCCGTTATTTGCGTGAACAATAATAGGTAGAAATTACAATTATAAAAATTGTAGAGGAACAATTTACTACAACTCTACGAAACATTTGTCGAATGTAATATACAGTATGATTAAATGATTTGGATTGTCCTGTACACACAGCGAGATAAGCATGCATTATCGATGGGAAAAGCGAACGATGCAAGTCGACGAAGCTAAAATAAACGAGCACAATGATTTCCCTCTGGAGTTGCTTCGCATCAGTCCGAATCATGGAATCTTGTATCCATTTAATGCGCACTATTTCAACGTAACCGCCAGATGCAACAATTTACTGCCAAATCGTTACTCGGCCATTCTACAGTAAGCGTACGATAGCCTTTGGACAATCGGAAACAAAGATGGATTTTTCTTCCTCGAATCATTATTTTGTTTGAAAATTAGATTGTACGTGGAAGATATACCACTCGCAGCCATTCCAAAAAAACTACAGTTGCATACCAAGGAGTGCGGCAAGAAAAGACGTAACTGTTTAATCGTAAATAATTATCTCGATTTATTGATCACCCCGTAAACAGCTTTTTTTTAGAGTCACTCTAACGTCATCGTTAGTCCGTAGACATTTTGGTCGCCGACGTAAAAGTTTGGGTGCAGTATATGATGAACGACGAATGGAAAACGTGAGTTAATTTTAAATTAGCGCTCGCATACCACCAGCAATTTCCTACGGAATTTTCAATTATTTAAATCGAATTCCCTACGTGATTCAGCGGTAGCGAATCCGAAGAATTGATCGAAAGTATATCTGAAACGATACCAGAATACAAGTACTCGCTGGAAGACGAAGAAACAGAGTGGAAGGATGACACAGACGACAGCGAAGGCTACAAGTCTATGCGTCAATTAGTGAGTCACCTCGCGACCTCTCTTGCAGTTTCAATGTCAATTAGAACACAATGAATCACGTTTCCATACGACATCGCAGGTCACCGACGAATTGTTTTCTCATTACGACATCGTCAATCTGTTACAATTCAAATCTCTTCTGTGGGAACGCATAATAAGCATGGGTATCATCAGACCTACAAGAACTCTGTACATTGGCATCGAAGAAACGTACGGTTTGATCGTGAAGAATTTCTCGAACAATTTGTTGACTTACACGTGGGGAGACACGAATGGTTTTGACGTGGAAAAGGTGAAGCTCTGCGTGTGTCCCGAAAAAGGAGAAATACAAGCCAAGAACACACAGAAAATCAAGATTACGCTCTTGCCATTGAAAGAGGTTGAAACAGCTACCCTGAATCGTAGCAACGAAAATTGGTATAGACAAACGTGATCGTAACGACACCCTCCACAATTTCCAGGGACTCGTGGAATCCTTGTTCATCCCGTGTTTCGTTGGAAACTCTCAAAAAATGATAATGCTTGGAATCGAATGTTTCATCCAGCCGCTTTACGTTACATTCTACCTTCCGTTAAACAACCCTGAACCTTTAAAGACGAGAGACACCTTCGCTCGAATCGAATGGCGCGTGGACAGCTTGAAAGCTGCTCTCGATTCAGCGGGAAAGATCAAGGAAGGCATGGTACGATCGTCTGACGTACATACAAATTTCTTTCACTAACTGAATAAACATAAACAGTTAGAGGAGGGAGGATGAACAATTGTTATTTTAATAAGAAAGTTCAGAAACGCTTTCAAAATATCAGTGGGGATTTTTTGCAGAAGCTCTTGAACAGGTACAAAATGCGAGCGGAACGAGAATTAAAAAACACGAATCTGGATCAAGGAGACGTACTCAAAGATGCTTCTGTAGGCCCTTCGGTATCTGACGTAGGCGCTGAAAACTCAAACGAACAGTGTTCTTCTAGCGCCCGTACTTCTGAAATCATTCAAGTAAAGGATCTGACAAATTTTCACGAAAAAAAAGCGTGGTAATAATGACGCGACGAATAACTATTGCAGATGAGCAAATTAGCAGCGGAAGATAGCAAGCATTCAGAAGAAGATGCCGCTGTATCTGGACACGTGGTACCTTTTCTGGAAACAATTTTACCACCTCTGACGCAACGCGATGTAATCGAATTCTTGGGCTTGTCGTTAAGAACAGGTACCCTTAAAAATTTCAACTATAGTACATTCTTCTAAACGCCGACAAAAACAATGTTCAGTGGAGAAGAAGACTTTCGTAATAAAAAACGAGACTCCGATTCCGTCCAACTTTCAACTTCGGCTGAAAAATTTCTATCCCGTAAAATGTTCCTGCGAACGGAAGTCAAAGGAGGATCGTATCAAGTTCATGTACAAGCAAGTCTACCATCGGAACAAGGATTTAATTGGTACAACCTTTGATCGGTATAGCCAACTGATCTTGAAAATGATTCTTTGTTCTGTTTGTTTTTAGAAGAAACGCTGTGTCGACTGAAACAGCCTAAATCGGGTGTTGTAATTTACGTCGATCCATTGAACTCCGACATGGGACCATTCGAGGCTATACCAGTAAATATTTACGTCTTTGCCGATACTTGGGGCATTTACGTCGACGAATTAGACATCGATATTACAGGCTTGCCCCGGTACACGTTATCGGTGTGCGTTCAAGTCGTTGATCCACCTATATCGTTGTCAATTTGCGAAAACACGTCCACGAAGACACACCATCTCAAGTGCGTCGAAGCGCTAAAAACCATTATTATTATTATCATTAATTCGCATCTAATTATCTAAACACTTTTTTCTTCAATCTTTTTAAACGGAAACATCCGCGCAACGTTGTAGACTCGTGCAAATATTTGTATTAGTTAGTCAGAGCAAACAACAGAAAAAAATTATTATGTTGGCGATTAGACGCTCGTTGATATAGTTGAATAACGAATTGCAGATTCGGACTGGTATCAGCGGGTATGCGTCTGCAGCCCAGAAAAGTATTGTTAAAGAATACGGGTGTCGTACCTGTAGCTGTCGATTGGCATTCGTTTTTGATCAGCCCTGAGAAAGAACCAATGCCCTTTAGCATTATATACGACATCTACACTCCGTTTACCGATAAATTAGCCAGAGAATTGAAAGCCAGCAAACAAAAAAGTAGAAGTGAATCGCACATGGAGCATCATGTAACGAAGAGGGTAAAATCGAAAATATACGAATTTGATTCTTTTGGAGTCGGGGATAGCGTCGCAGATGCATCGAGTACAATACCAAGTGCTTCCGACGAGGCAACGATGTTGACTTGCACGTAAATATTCTTACGTGACGCAGTTATGTAATGAAGTTCTTGATCCAAGTAGCTTTCTTTTTTTTTACGACTCTATGGAGGGTTTGCAAACATATCGGTAGAAATGATGTTTGGGAATCACTGATGTAATAGAATCGTAATCTGCAAATTGATTTAGGACATTCTGCACAACGAGTAGTTACGATTTTGATAGTTCTGTACCTTCGAAAAGTAACAAATACGTAAAGGAAGAAGTAAACGAGTACATGCCAGCTGAAACAAAAAAAAAAAACGATTGCGAATTCAAAGTTTCGATACTCCCTTACTATGGTGCAGTTGATGCAACCGTTTGCCTGGTAAAACGATTAAATTACGATACTAGAAAAAATATTTTAGAACCTTTAACGATAAAAAAAACTGTTTCGATACTTCTCAAGATCACTCCCCGGGAAATTTTTGTTTTACCACAAGACAGTGCTTCTGTGACGATCACTATACATCCCGATAAATGCAAATTTCTTAACGGAGGCAGAGACTTTACAGGAGAACTGCATTGCAAAATTTTGGGATTTCTACGAATTGCTCCAAGCGATAAGTTTGTATATTGTTTCAGTCGTATCACCTCGTTATGAAATATTTTACCAACTTGTAGGTATCGAGATAATTGTTACTCTAGACCAGATGGAAACTATTTAACTCCGATAGAAATCGATGTCACCGCAACTATCGTGAGACCACAATTGTTTTTTGATATCTCTAAATATGATGGGACATTCACGTGTTGTATTAACGATGTGATGCAAAATAGATGGAAACCGTTAATGTGCGTAAGAACATTTCGCCATTTTTTTCAAACAAATTAAGTTTAATTCGTCTAATTTTAGACTGAAGAAAACATTCTTCTTCTACAACAAAAGCAGTAACATAACGAATGTTTCTTTTGAAACATACAGTCCATTTCACGTCGAGTCTGTTTCAATTTATGCAGAAGCAAATCCATGTAAGCCTATAAGGAATATATGCATAAATGGCCATGGATGTGCAGAGGTAATTTATTCTAATGTATATTCCAAGGGTTCAAAAATTTCAAGTGATACCACTGTCATAGGTAGTGATATCGTGCAATGTAGAGGAAGAGTTAATCGAAACCTTATTCCACACAAATAGAAATCAAGAATTGCGTAATTCAGTTATTACATTAGAAGAGTTATTACTCATTGTGCATTCCGATGAAAGCACTCAGGTATAGATTTTCCCCATACTGTATATGTTTATATCTAAAGAAATGTACACGTTCATAAATTTCAGGACGTGGCATTAACTTTAAACATCTGGCTACCATCGTTAAAACTGTCTTTATACACAATAGATTTTGGCAATGTATACGTAGGAGATGCTAAGAAGCTGACATTAGTTGTTGAAAATTTATCGAGTATGTTTACTTGAATAATTTGTTTCATAATTAGATAGATAATTTTTGTTGCTAATATGGTACCTTGATTAAACTTTAAACAGTATGCAGTTACAAATTTAATGTCAAAAAGAAGTTCAAAAACGAAGAATTTATAATTGATCAATCAAAGGGAATGCTAACAAGCCATTGGAGCAAAGGAAGCATTTTTGTAATTACAATTTCTTTTCAACCAAAGTAAATATGCTCAGAATATACTCTTAATTACACTGTTAATTGTGTTTGTATCGGTGCTCAATTATGGTTTAATATATAGAAAAGCTGGCTCGTCAATGGAAACGTTAGAAATAATAACTAACGATCCGTATACTACAGAAGAATGCGAGCTTCGTGGAAATGGATCCTTAGATGAAAAATATCACATTCCAGGCATATAAACGGAAGGTTATACTAACAAGTAGCCATTATTGAAATAATTACTTGAAATCTAGTTAAAATTAACTGTTTACTTATTCTGATATCAACATCTTAATCAACACGATATGCTTTACTATACATCGTGTATTGTATATGTATACATATGTATAGTACCGATAATACTTTGTACACAAGAACTAGAGCATAATTTTACAATTTCTAAACGAATACCTTTCTCTCCAACTTCGATGAAACAATCAGTCTCTCTGGAATGTCATCATCGGAATTTTTAATTAAAGAAAACGCGTTTTCGCTTTCATGAGTGTGCGCCTTTCCATGAATACATGTTCCTTTCAATGACGTATTTTGTAGGTAAATAAGACGTCCTCCTAGGGTCTCGAACAAAGAGACTACCCAAAATCGAAAGGCAAAAAATCATTGTTGTTAACGGTATACAATATACAAAGAATAAATGTCTTTATTTAAAACTAAGTGTAAATATTGACATTGTTAAATTTATGTTTTTTAAATAGAATCATTTTTGTCGTAAATGATAAATAAAGCAAAATTCACTATAACGAACCGATGTACAATATCACAGACCAACGACCACGCAAGATCTAAATGAAGTAGTAAAAATAGGTATTAGATTAAATGTAGGTACGTGTATTATATATGAATTATCATTCCGAGATATTATTTGTAGGTTACGTAACTTGTTTGTCGTGTTGCTTCGATAATGAAGAGATAGAATTTAGAAATATTTTTTGTTCGCAAGTTCTCGAATTTTGTTTTACTTGGGGCCCCATGAAAATCTGATGCACTACTGGTTCGCTTGGTTACCCACACATTTACGGAATTTTTGATGACTTACCGAGTTCGTCACGGTCTCGCCACCTATCGTAGTAAATGCGAATCGTCCAAGATTTTCTCTATCACGTGATCGGTCTAACCAATCGGTGAATTTTGAGGGCCCTATACGTGGCATAAGGCATGAATCCTTTCCACGTCCGCCATTTTGACATACGGTACTTTTCGAAGAGTGTTGGTTTTATGTTTTATCGTTTCTCGTGAAAATAATCTTTTTTACTGAAACGTAAGTAACGCAAGTGACTTATACGAGCGACGTGACATTACGGGGAAAGTCTCGGTAATCAGACGACGTTTATAAATATGGAAGTTTGAGCGGGGAACCTTTCGACGATTCGCTGGGGAGTAGGTCGAAGGTGACAGACAACCGGGTGTACGCAGTGGCTTCGCAAACCGCACAATATCTTCCGCCTTGCTCGCAATACCTCGGTGTTGGCGTTTTAGGTAGCCGATCACGTTTTAAAAGTGCATAGATCACCGACAAAAGACTCTAGTGTGATCTCTAACGGTATGCTAGTCCGATAATCATAGCGATGTATTAAAACGAGAATCAATAGCGGGCAGCGTGAACATCTCGTGTGTGTTTCTACACATTGTCCTTTTTCTTTTTTTGTTTATTTCTCTCGTTAATCCGAAATCTATCATTCACGTTACACAGAATATATCTTTTATTCGTCGTGCACACTTGGTAAATGTGCAGGTTAGCTTTTTCGGCTTTGTGTCAGCAGCGTATCGGTACTTTACGCATGTTTCTGCTCGTTGGCTCTGTCGGCGTAATATCAGTTTTTTTCGTGAAACGTGTCTCTTTCGTTCATTCGCATCCATGTGTCTCGAATTTTTTACTCGTCCCGATCGTTTTTACCTATTTCTTTTTCGTTTCATTCGTAATTATCATAGTTTTTTCATCTCGAAAGAATTTAAAACCCCAACGTATTGTTGCACGTCGATTAGTCGTACGTCGTATAGAGTTACATATGTCGAGCATATTTCTTTCTAGACTAATTTTAAGTACCAAATTCGAACGATAATAAAGTTATAATTTCGTGATAACGTGTTTTACGCCTTTATATATTGTTAAATAATACTCTTGATCCAGCATTAATTTATTTAATTATTTCATCATTCCAAATAAGATATCGGTTATCTATAATGCGAGCTTGTAAATTACTTCGTATTACTATATTTTCATTATATTGTCTATTAAGAAAAATAAAGAACCGATAATGTCATACAATATTGTAAACTGTTAACTTGTAACCTGGTTCTGTTACTAATTAAATTTTGATTTCTAATTTGTTATAGGTATTTAAATAACCAACACCAGCCATGGGGAACATGTTTGCAACATTATTTAAGGGCCTCTTTGGCAAAAAAGAAATGAGGATTTTGATGGTGGGTCTTGATGCAGCGGGTAAAACCACAATTCTGTACAAATTAAAATTAGGGGAAATTGTTACTACAATTCCTACTATAGGTAAATATGGAATTTTATTTGTAAATGTAATTATATGGCGTTCTATAAATTAATGTTCCACAATGAGATTTACCAATTTTTAATTTAAATTTTAGGTTTCAATGTAGAAACAGTCGAATACAAGAATATAAGTTTTACTGTATGGGATGTGGGTGGCCAAGACAAAATCAGACCTCTCTGGCGACATTACTTCCAGAATACACAAGTATGCTGTCCATGTGTTTTTCGTTTGTTTTTGTTTATGTTAGTTATATTTGATATTCACTACACATTTATTAATTGTTATATGGTTACAGGGGCTGATATTCGTTGTTGACAGTAATGACAGGGAACGTATCGGTGAAGCGCGCGAAGAATTGATGAGAATGTTAGCAGAAGATGAACTTAGAGATGCAGTACTCCTTATATTTGCTAACAAACAAGTGAGTACAATTTTAAATGTATTAATATACGTAGATTCGTATATATTTTATAATAGTATAGTAACGCACAAAACGTTTCAAAATCTAAGACGCGTATCGTTCGTTGTGTAAATAATATTCTATATAAACATGTTGGGTTTATGCCAAGAGAAAATTTAACAATGAAACTATGATCTAAAAGGAAATCAATTAGCGAAGTCTGTTTATACGTTTTGAAGCACGTATAATAAACGAGCGTTATTCTAGGATCTGCCAAATGCAATGAATGCAGCAGAAATTACTGACAAGTTGGGCCTGCACTCTCTTCGTAATCGTAACTGGTACATTCAAGCAACGTGTGCCACAAGTGGAGATGGACTTTACGAGGGTCTCGATTGGCTCTCCAATCAGCTCAAAAATGCCAATCGCTAATTGGAACATCGTTCCGTCAACATTCAGTTGCTATATTAACATCATAAACATCAGCTGCACACCTGTCCCCCCCATGAATGAGTAATAATGTTAAAAAGGTAATACTAAGTGCAAACTGCGAGATCTCTTGGATCTAAAGTGGAGGGTGGAAAGATTATCGAAAGTTGTCAATGTGCCAGGAAGTTTTTGGGGGGAGGGGAGTGGGGAAACGGCCGGAAGCACACATTCGAACGGCCACACAGGACTATTGCCTTGTGCAACTTATTATTATAATTATTATTATATTAGCATTATAGTTACACTTTTTACACAGAGATACCACGAGAAAAGTGGAAAACTTGGAAGTAATTGTATTAAAGTACCTAACTCTGAAACATACAATACACATTCGTTAATTAATAATTTGAATATCTTTGAAAAAAAATTTAAGAACGAAAAAGTGAAGTACCCACGGTGTTGTCAGTTTGAACGCGTTGGACATACTGATTATCATAATGTAGCTGCATATTGTACATTACATTATATAAATATGATGATAAAAATGTGATCAATAGATGAGAGAATGTTACTCTGTCCACTACATTACAAATGTCACATTGGCCCATCAGTTGACATGACAAATGCAGTGAATGGTAACTGACGGTGCAATGACTTACTGTTTCTAGTTACAAAAGTTTGTTTCTATTTTTTTAAGTTTTCAGTGGTATACGTCGAAAAAAATGCAAAGCGAAACTATACAAAATGGTTGTCTTACTGCTTGGCTATTGGCAGGTGCAGAACTGCACCCTCCTTCACCTGTTCGCAATAAGACTAACAGTTAGCCAACCATGTATATCTCAGTGTAAAAGAGATATCATTTATTTATTGCACCTTGATAAGGTAAAATTAGATTATTGTCAACATTCCGAAATTATGCATCGATCGTGGCGGGAAATGGAGATGAATCATTTTTAAAGACGTGAAGAAAGTGAGAGAAAGATGCTTAAAAAAGTGAAGTTAAAAAAGAAAAACTAGGAAAGAACCTCTCGCTGCAAAGAGAGATAGGCCTCGCAATTTTTAAGCCAGCAATTTAAACTGGCATGGCAATTTACCAGATGAAGCCATTTTCGCAAGCCCTTCAATCTCCTAATGTTTTCCTGTCCTCGAAATACATTGTTTTTACAAAATAATCTTCCCCTAACTGATCAAATCGCCTTTTCGTCATATGCGAAGATTCGTATAATTATATATGAATGTTTAAACAATTTGTGAAATATACTGTAATTGTGCTTTATGTAGTCTATGTGTTATTTGCCGTTAAAATAGTTTGTTTTTGTTCTGGCTGATTATAAATAGGATATATAGAGCCCTCGGTTTGGGGTGCATGCATATTGTGCAGAGAATGATCAGGATAAAGGGATTTCTGCACTGATGCGAAAACAATAATTTAGAAATATATATATATATATATACACACACGAATACATACAAACCATATATATAAATATATTCATATACATGCATATGTATACAGATGTATATACACATACATACATATACATATATGTTATAAACAGATGAAGCAAATGCACCTCTATCCTCGTGGCTTTGCGATCAGCCTGCACGCATCCCTCATTCAGACGATGGTACTTCAGTTACGAGCACGATTACTTTTTTTTCGTTACTAAAGACTGCGCACTGCCCATACCGCATGTTTCATTTTAGTCTATTAAGTTTCCCCTATTTTTTATTGATCTAATCTATGATTTAATTACGGATAAATTACGAATTATAAATTTGTATTGTTCGGAGAAACGACAAAAAAAAATGAGACGTTTACGGTACAGTTTTATTCGTAGATTGTGTGTGAAAGATATTTTCTTTCGATTTTTAATAACGTGTGTGTGTGTGTGTGTGTGTTTAACGACTAAAGATAATTATGGATTTTAACGAGGATATTATTTCCGCAGCTCTGTCAGAACAAAAATAAAGAACGTAATATTTAAGGTGTGTCGATAAAGTTTTATTACCGGCACGCAAGTCAACGACCCGTTATCAAAAGAGATATGCAATCGTTATGAATTTAATATTTGTTTACACTTAAATTTCATACATCTCGCTGGCAATGGAATGCTGCTACTTTTGGAATCTATAAGATTGTCGCTAAGAAATTGCAAATAACAAGCAACTACGTATTTTTTTCATTAGTTCGTTACACATAAAGAAGAAAACTTGGTAAGATTGTAAAGGTTAGTTGTATATGTTTATTTTTTATTCGTTCATTTTAGCGTGCGTTGATTCGCTTGGAACTTCTGATTACTTCATAGGGTTATTTATACGGTTGGGTGATTGATTACAGACGATCGGGAATCGATATTGAAATTTACATATATTTGTTGCGTTATCGCCGCGACAACGATAAATGGGTTAAATGCTTATAAATTGCATTCATGACATCTCTCTCATGTGCATGACCTCAGTGTCGTGACATTTTCCCGCGCGTAACCTTCGCTGTATGAGTAAGTATCCAATACGATGCATTGTCATTTAACTTCCACTGTGTGAATTAGACGTGTGAGTAAATCCGGTTTCGTTAAGTATTTGTTCGGTATATAAATTAGGTAAATATAATAAAAAGCATCAAGTTCTTGAATTTATTCGATTACTTAATCAATTTAGTTGTTCGCGTTGAAAATTCCGACACGCTAGATTAGACGAGATAGAATTCTTGACTCTTCGTAGCTTACATCGAATTATTTGCCAGTCGAAGAGGTTAAGATGTTTTACTCGAAAAAGCCTCGCGACAGTTGTCGCAACTAAATAAACTATTATTTCAGAAAAGAATTACCTCGTATTGGAAACTATGATATCGATGCAGTAACGAATCGTCACGCTTTTTATTTCCGTGGAAACTACCATTACAAAAAAAAAGATGGCGCTTTCAATCAAACGGGAGGCGACGTTGTCATTTGTATCTATTCAATGTACTTCCTATCCATCACTTGCTTATGGTTCCCGCGCGTCGCGTATGCCGTTCGCGATGTGAATGTAGCTTGTGAAACGGCGCGAAGCCGGTGCCCCTCGTATTTTTAGAATTATTAACAACCTGCGAAAGAGTAACGATCACGTATTGAATGTCAGACGAAGCTGTTTGTGATAGATATGCCTCGCAGACGGCGCCAGGCATCTTCCCGTCGGCAATAACGAACCGTTCAGGTTACTCGTCGTCGCAGCCTTTCGAATCGCGCCGTTTTTTCACAACCACGACATAAACTGTTGGAAGATCCCCAAATAACAAATAGCGAAGCGAAAGGCTCGACTGCTGCTCGTCCACGGTAAGGAAAGCGCGATATCCAAGTGTACACTTAGAGTCTAGGCTCTAATTTGAAAATATACTAATATCGAAGGGTTTCGAAGAAGAGAGTTTCGCCTCTGTCAAACTACTCTGCAAGAACAGCCTTCACGAAATGGTAATTGCTCGCTCGGTAACCGTATATACACTTCTTGACACTGTCGCTCAACCTCCTCTGGAGGTTATCATTATTACGTCGTGTATGTGTACATACGTGCGTCGCTCACGGGCCGGTATATGAATTTTTTGGTCAAATTTTTTTACACCAGCATAAATAAAGCGCAGATTGGAAAGTAAACCTGGAACACGACTCATTTTTTCACTTTGCAAGACGCTTATGTAGTAGTTTTTTGTCATTATGTTGTAACGTCACCGTCGAACCTATCATTTACGGCGTACAGGTTAAGTGCTTATAAAACTTGACTACTTGAGGGATTATTGCAAAGTGTTACTGTACCAGCTATTTTTAATCCGAGTGAAGAGTATATGCGAAGTTGTACAAGCTGTTTGTCTGAAACAACGTGACGATGTTTACAAATCTGTAACGTGGAACGCTACCGTTCGAACAATTGATATTTCGTTAAATGTTTATTTTAAGAAAATGTGCGCGTGTCTAACTGTTAAATATTGAATATCCGGAATAGTTATATGGAGAAATTATCGACAGAGGTCTCGGGTTACCAACCGCACAAGTTTAACGATACTGTTTTTGAGGTTATTCTTAATTTGCCAAAGTCAAACGAACTTTTGAAATAAGAAACTAAAATAAAATTAGATTCCGATCGTTTTACTAAAATTTCATATGTTCGTCGATAAAATTGACGTGTCAGAAATTTGTTCACTTTATCGAATACCTACTACGTTTTATTCAGAATATTCAAAATACGATATTCTAAATAAAATCAAATATATCAGCTCTTCTAAAGAGTGCTTTGTACACTCTTTATTTATTATGCAACGATGGTGTCCTGTGTAACATAAATTAGAAATTCTTGCGAAAAGTTGAAAGTACAGAAGTAAATAGCTGCCTGACGAGATATAAAGTTTTCGAAGCACGTGCTTGAAACTATACGGCGTGTATTCGCGTTTATAACCGAGGGGATCGTAAAGTTCCTTTACTTATTTTTTCCGTCCACCGTGGAAAGCGTTCAAAGTCTCGACTTTCCATCGCCACGTCGGTGAAGACTCTTAAAACGGATCCACCATCGTCGAATATAAAAATCTGTCGGCGCAATCGTTGTTATTGGCGGAACCTTATATTTAGATCACGTCGAAGAAATTTCTGACAGCCTTCGCGCGAAAGCTTTAACGAGCATGATGCATCTCGTGTCGGGCATAACACTTATGATGCTTTTTTTACGCCAATCACCGACTCGACTTGTTTTTCCTTTATTAAGAAATAAAGTCTTACTTGCGCAGCCTATTACACTACCAAATACTTTTTCGATCCACTTTATTATATCTATCGCCATATTCTCGCTATGAATATCAAAACCGAATTATGTATGCCTACTGTTAAATTGATATTGATCTTTTCTTTGGGCCAATGTACTCGGGCTCCTCTAGACATTCCATTCTTGTCTTTAGATTTTACCGACACGTGTAAACGCCCCCCAATGGACGCTCCATCCATTTTGTACTCGCGGAATGACGTTGCCAAAAATGTGCTCTCGAAAATTCTCAAATCCCGACACGTATGCGTTCACGGTGGCTTCTGTGCACACCGTACGGTAAACTGTTTGAGTTTACACGACCGTCTGTGTTTTCCCTTCGACGTGGCGCTGGTTATCAATTTCCCTCGGACATTGGGAAAATATTATTCCAAGTCTTGAGACCAGATTGTTGTTGGTGCCGTCGGGCGAAATTCCGAAGGGGTGGATCCTGGAATATGGACCGAGTTAGAATTTTAGAGGGTTCGTCGAGCCGGAGAGTCAACTTACGAACAAATAAACGACATAAGATAGTTTTTAAGGGAAACAAAATTAATCGAACCTTCGAGAGATCTCGAATGTCTCTTTCCGATAACGAAATACGGTGGAAGCGTACGACATAATTTATCATCGAGCTCGATAGATTTTCAAAAGAGGATAAAAGCTGTTCCTTAACCTCAATTTGAAACAAACCGATCGACGCGAGATCTCGAGCAGATTTACAGCGACGTATAGTCGTCTAGCCGCAAACGAGATTCGATTTGCCTCATCATCGTTCGGTTGTGCCATGCATAGACGCGTATATGCATAACGCTATGAGAATGGCGCCAACATTCCCATCTGTCGACGCGCGTGTGTGCCGTGAAACGTTGAAACGCGACGCAACGGTGCGAGCGAGCGGGTGTGTGGGTGGTATACTGCATAAAGCTCGATTTCCACTAGCGCTGAAAACCAGAGGTCAGCAAACTTTTTCTAAGAAGGTAATATCAACGGAATTGTCTGCATAATTAGGATTTTTCACTTAAAGCGAGTAGCTCTGATATCGTCACTGTAGCTAACGGTCGTCTATTTCCATCGAACAATGAAATTACTATCAGAGACAACTTGTACACGGTTTTGTTGCGAATTTCTTGCAAACAGTACAACCCCAACTACTACCGGCGGTTAAAACTCGATGTACGCGTTGTTCGTGCTAAAGACGTTCATAGCGTATGGCCAGGTATAACTATAAAGTTTCAACGGTGATCTGTGTCTCTTGAACGCTGGTGGGAATCGACCATAAGGAATATCAGCTAATTTAGTCGTGTTTAGAACGCGAATGCAGGTAAATCCGTACGCGTACAAGAATGTCGTATAATTCAACTATTAATTGACGCCTGATTGCCACTCATGCAAATCCGATTAATGGAAATCGTTGTCGTCTAGACAGCAAGACATATGCGTTTTCGCGTGCCGTTTAAATGCGGATCCCCTTTGACATTTTCCGTTTTCCAAGATGAAAATCGAAGATGA